ATTAAATATATAAAAAAAAAGAGAAGTAAAAATTTTTTGTAAAGTGGACTACATAATTCTAAAATTTTTGAAAATAGCGGTTAGTAGTTTTACTGCAGAAGGCACACATATGTAGCTACTGATATCGACGAACTTAAGAGCTGAAATAGCTCAGCTAAATAACCAAATAAAAAACATTACAACTGCTACGCAGGTGACGGAATACGATACACAGACAACTAAAGACTTAATTATATAAAATGAAAATTTAGAAATCATTATCGAAATTTTCGGCAAGGTCATACGTCAGCTAGATGGAAGCTGCAAAAAATTCAAATGAAAATTCAATAAGTTTCTATATAGAAGGGAATTGGAGATATTTTGGAGCCCTAACAATAGTGAGAAACAAGATTGTGGCCAATGTTAACGACATTTTGGCAAACGATGGCACAGTATTAAATTTAGAGGCCATATTTTCGAGATTAGATTTTGCGTATGCTGATAGAAGGTCAATACACTTAATTGATCAAGAAATGAGTATACTTAGACAAGGATCACAATCCTTAATAGACTACTCCAATGATGTTAATAAGAAATTGACATTGTTATTAAATAAAGCAATAATGACGCATGGAACAAATTCCGAAATAACCAAGCAATAAAATATTTAAAATCGAAAAACCGCACTTAAAACCTTCATAACTGGTTTGAACTACCCTATAAATTAAATACTTTTTATTTTAACGCCCACTGATTTGTCTAATGCTCTTGCCAAAGGCCAAGAACTTCAGTCAAACCAAATGAGGTCACAATTCGGGTTACATTTCTCCAAAAGGAATCAAGAAATTGACTCTCGAAAACAATAATTTAATAATACATTTCAAAATAATTTGAGGTATCCGCAAAGGAATACTAATACGAACCAAAAATGTCCTAATCGTCCAGAATCAATGGACGTGGATTAATCTAATCAAATAATATATAAACCTAGGCCCATACAAAAAACCAAATACAGGCTAGGAGTAAAAGATATAATTGGGAAACCAATTATCAAGAAAGAAATATACCAAAGAGGCAAAGCGAAAGTGCACAAGTAAGCACACAGCCTCAACCTAAAATGCAAAGAATTAATAACATTGGTGAAATCCATTTTTAAGGGTAAGCTCTGATTTGCCCTATATTAAAAAAACAGATATGACAACCGGGCAAATCATTCGAATTTTAATAGATACGGGGGCAACCAGTTCATATATACGAACTGGAATTTATAATAACAAAAACACTTTAGTAATTAAGAAGAGGGTAAGAACCATTAATGGTTCATGATTGTAGAAAACATTTTCATAATATTAATCTATTGGGCCTAAAACAGTGGTCTTTGCACAATTGTGCAAACTAACTTCACACGCACGCTTATGCTCTATCGTTTAGTAGGGTGGGTCGATTCCGGACTTTTTGCCTTAGTACTTCCTGATTTCAATGCAACTTTCTGTTTTGAGATCGGATTGCATCTTCAACCCCACCTCCGGCCTTGAAATTTCGAAAATTCGCCTAAAATCGTGAAATTGTCTACCTAGCGCCTGAAATATGCACCTCATGCCAAAATGTATAAAACAAAAGTTATTTGTCACGTCATTTGCTACCGAAATCGGCTTGCGGCCACACTTCTTGACGTTGATTTCGCCGAGTGCTATCACTCCCATTCATTCACCTACGCCATACGACACGTTCGAACTGGTCCCCACATAAATATTTTTTAAACGAGTTCCTTCACTCTTGTCGTTGATTTCGCCGAGTGCTATCACTTATATTCTCTCAACAGAGCACAGAACTCAAAATGTTTGTATCTAAATTTAAATTTAGACATAAATGTCCTGTGTTTGGCATATATCCGTTCAATCTCTTTGAGTCTCAGTTACCTACTTACCAGGATGTTCTTTTGTGTTATCAGTTTGAAAGATTTCGTATAGGGCGACTCCTAGGCGACAACTATGAACCTAGGAGTAAAGAGGTTACAGAAAAAGTTGCAAAAAAGATTGAAAATACTTTCAAAACGTCATTCAACATCAACACTTACCAGAAAGTATCAGCTAGATCATGTGACCATTCCGATCAGCCAGACTCTCATACAGATGATAACAATGTAGGTGCGTCGAAAATGGAATCTTCCAAAAACGACGCTGATGATGAATTTCTCTTACATCCTCTAAAGCCAAACAAAACACACTAGTATTAGAACACACTGCTTTAGCTGCCCAAAGATTTGGAGTAAGTGATAGAGCAGCGACCTTGATTGTTCCGTCTGCTTTTCTGAATGCCAGGAAAGCAGGTTTGATAACAGAGGATCAGGCTAGCTTTGTCACTGACAAATGCAAGATTAGTCGGGCAAAAGAAGTGTTGGAGTTAAGCTCCAAAACACCGAAAGTTTTGACTCTGTAAATGGGATGTTTTTTGACGGCCGCAAAGACAATACACTTACACAAGTCAGCGAAGGTGAAAAGTACTACCGCGACACCGTCAAAGAGGAACATATTTCTCTTATAGCGGAACCTGGTTGTCATTACTTTGGCCACGTCATCTCTCCTTCCGGGTCAGCTGAGGATGAGACGCAAGCTAGATGGCAAAATTTACAAGACAATTCAGTTGATGTGGAACATCTAGAAGTTGTCGGTGCTGATGGCACCAACACGAAAACAGGTTGGAAAGGTGGAATCATTCGGAAACTAGAAGAAAGAATTGGTAGGCCATTACAGTGGGTTGTTTGTCTTCTACATTTCATCGAACTTCCATTTTGTGCTCTTTTCGAACACATAGATGATGTCTCAAAGAGTCCAAATGCATTCTCTGGCGACATAGGTAAACTGCTCCCAGATTGTGAGAAGCTGCTTGTTGTCAAATTTGAAAGTTTTCCTTGATGCCAATTACCTTCTGAGGTTATTAATCCGACCCAACTTAGCACAGACCAGGATTATCTCTATAAAATATCAGAAGCTGTTGTTTCCGATCAATGTTCTTCAGATTTAGCGTCGATGCATACAGGTAACATGTGCAAATCTCGCTGGCTCACCTGTGCAAATAGAATTCTGAGATTATACATTTCTACTGATAAACCAACAAAGATTTTGGTCAAGTACATACTTACAGTTTGCTCACCTTTGTGGTTCTCAATAAGATTCAACAGTTCATTCAAAGATGGCTCGCGCCATCTCTATGCTGCAATTCAAAGGTCGAGACACTTACGTGCTAAACTGCGCAAGGTTGTCGATTCATCCATTCAACAGAATGCTTTCTTTGCTCTAGAAAACATTCTCCTTAGTATGATGACTGACAAACGGACAGAAGTCAGAAAGTTCGCCCTTGACCGTCTTCTGGCAGCCAGAGAAGCAGAGTCTGACACTGTAAATGG